GAGACATCCTAATGACCATCGCGGCATTAAACCCTTTGCCACGCGGCTCCGAGATCTCGTCCAGAAAGTCGGCATGGATCTCTCTATTATCTGTACCCTGGTCCAGACAAATACAGCGCATGGGAAACCCAATTTTGCCGTCTTGGCCAAGGCGCTGGAGGTGGAGCTACACCAGAGATTCAGAGAAATCCTTATTAAACATCTCCCTTTATTCATATATATATATATATATATATATATATATATATATATATATATATATATATATACCGACGGCTCCAAGACAGATGAATGTGCAGGAGCGGGTGTGTAGTCGACTGGATGTGAACTAAATTTCAGACCCGAATCATACATCGATCTTCTTTGCAGAACTTTTTGTTATTGATAAAGCTACAGATTTTGCAGCATCGACGACCCAGGATAGAGTAGTATTTGTTCTGATTCACTCAAAGTCATCAAATCATTAGAAACCACAAAAATCAACTGATGGGTAATAGCATTCGTAAGGTACCTAGTGTTAGTAGATAGTACCACGCCACTCTGGTATCCATGACATTGATCAGGCTGACAAATTAGCCGGACCAGCTGGTGATCTGTACCTTAGCATAGTTCGTACAAATCTCAAGTGATTTGTATCTCTTATAAAAAATAAAATAATAATAAATCTGTGACAAAGCGAGTAGATCCTACAAATACACAAAAAGTCAAACCTAAAACAGAACAGGGGGACATGGCCCAGAGGGAAAAGAAAGGAGGGAGGTGATCTTGGGTCAATCCCTCCCCAATCTCTTGCTCGTTGTTGTCGTGGGGGGGGGGGGCTTAGGATACGGTGATTGAGGCCCGATGTAAGGGATCACCCCTAAACTTGGACCTCGGCCCTTACCTCAACTAATATCCTTCCCTTCTTCATCCCCTTCTGTACATATCCTAAAGTGTGAGAGCCGGGCTGAAAGGATGAAAGACCGACTTTGTGTCAGACCTGAGTGGTCTTTGTACTCCGCTAGCTTTTCCCTCTTTACCCTTTTCACAACCATACTAACCTACAGCGCTCTACAACCTTTTACAACTAACATTTGTGGAGGTTCCCATCAGTCAGGCTCTGCTGAGTGCAGCAGCCTGAAGGAAATAGACAGTCAGGTTGTAAAGTAACATGAGGTTAATATTACTTTAAGCTAAAAGGAAAATGTTAAGTTTGATACAAATTCGATACTTCTTATGCAGCAGCAGCAACTAACGTCATTCCAAGTGAAAGCAAAGTTAGTTTGCAGCTAAAGATAAAGAAATTGCTGAACTCAGACAGTTAAAGAACTGAATATTAAAGTATAAATGGCCGAACCAACCCAGCATAAACGTCTTGAGGCTGTGACACCAAATCACAGTCCGTATCGCATCTCCCGTCCGGTGACTCCTGTAATGACGTTGCCTGACTCTCTATTGTTTCTTGAGAGAGAAGCAGGTCGCAAGTCGTCTCCCTCGCAAGGAGAATCTGCCTCCAAATCTTTCCGAGAGAGGTCCCCGGGAAGCTCGGGAGAGGCGGCCAAAAAAGCACTTCAAAACCCCATAAAACGTAATCCGCGTTAGCCGCCGACACAATGGAACTGTCGAAGTCTTAGAACTAGAGTAAATTCCCTTAGATTAATAGCCTCGTCCTATGTTCCCGACACTATAGTTATACAAGAAACTCATTTAAGCTACCTCGTCTCATTTTGTTGTGGAACTACCATCTGTGTCGGAAGGCGTAGGGGCGGGGGTAGAGTCGCCATGTACACCCACCAGAGCCTCTCTTTCACTGAAGTGGCGATGGATTCTACTTTGGAGTATGTCGTATGCAAAGTAAAAATCAGTAACACGCATCTCGCTCAGTTTATTGTCCACCTGACAACAACGTAATTTATGAGGAGCTCTTTCCTCTTCAGGATAGTCTGCCACTGAATAAATTAATTTTAGGTGATTTTAAAGGGGTTTCCAGCGGGTAGGTAGTGGAGGTATGCAAGTAGTTAAGTTATTTAATGATTCTGATTTGATCCTGAACGATGGCAGACCGACGATAATAACGGTAATTTGAGCTTTCTTGATTTATCTCTGGTCTCTTCAACAATAGCAACCAAGTGCCCGTGGCACACCAATGACTCGTTGGGAAATGATAATTTTCCCATTTCTATTAAATGTTCATGCAACATAACGAACGCTCCAGCGCCTATTCTAACGTAAAAAGAACAGACTGGTTCGCCTTCACTAGGAGCGAAAAGCTCAAAGTTGGAGAAATCAATGATGATAAAGTAAACAATGTTCAAAATAGTGTATAAAGCGTAACAATAATATCCATTCCTAAGACTTCGACAGGGCTTTAAACATGGAGTTACACGGTGAGCAACAGATTGCCACGGGGCGCTGTGTGATGGGAATGCGGCCTACATGCTTTTCAAAAATAACATTAATAACGAGAACTTTTGCAATTACAAACTAGCAAAAAGTAGAGCTTGCAGAACAATTAGACAAGTAAAAAGAGACTCCTGGTAGAGCTTTGTCTCTGCAATAAACAGCAACACCCCAATACCACAGGTTTGGCCCTGCAATAAAAAATAAGAAAAAAATATTTCAAAATCAAACATATTGATGATGAACCTAACCGCTTCGCCTAGAGACATTACTAATGCACTTGTCGGGCAGTTGTTCTCATACACAAGTAGCTCAGACAATTAACATACACATACACACACATCATCCCGCATTCCTGACCACCAAGGAAGCGGCTGAGCTGCAACCTATACACTTTTCTACAGATGACTTAGATTACAATAATGATCCGTCGATGAATGTGCTTATCCGAACCCCCAGAAACCTGTGGAGATACGTCATCTGAAGAAAAGTGTCTAGAACCTTTAGAGATACGTCCCCAGGCCGATGAGATTCGATATGAGATGATACAGCATCTCAATCATTGATATCATGATTGAGTTACTGGAAATGGCACTTCTCCCACATGATTCCCACATTGAAAGGAGAGGGAAATCCCAGGTTCGCCATCTATCGACCTATTGCGTCGACACGTTGCTTATGCATAGTCATATTAACAGAAAGCTATATTTTTTTAATTACATAATTTTACTAGTTGAAGAGCAGTAAAAGATGCCAAAGTAATGATTAACTGGCAAAACTAGACAGTCTTATCCAAACCTGCCCTGTATTATTCAAAACTTTATTGACAGGACTTTTTCTGACTCATTTTTCGTACATTTTTGTGAAGGCAAACGGGGTCCCACAAGGAAGTGTCTTGTCACCAACATTATTTCTGCATATTATAAATGATATCTTACCAGCTCCCCATCGGAATCTTAAATACTCAATGTACGCTGATGATTGCGTATTATGGCATTCTAGCAAAAATGCAGAATTATCGGCAAATTGCATCCAACTGGCACTGGATATGATTCATTCAGTGGAGTTTCAAGTTTTCCACACGAATGAGAATTTGGATAATTTTTTTTTCACCTAGGAGGATGCCAAATATCAGGCTAACTCTAGACAATCACCAATACCTATTCAAAAATTGCTAATATCTCGGTCTCCTCTTTGATCGCAGACTAAATTGGAAAAAAGAACACATTGGTCAATTAAAGAACATATGTCAAAAAGCACTCGATTTACTACAGTTTATTTCCGATAATAAATGGGGACCTGATAGAAAGTCTTTGCTAATGCTATATAAAGCCCTGATTAGGTCTAAATCAAAATCAAACACTTAATAGAAGAGAGCTGGTGTTGGCCTCACGGTCAACATTACACGTTCGATGAAAGGATGACTTTGAGTCCGTCCTGACCGACCGGCCTTCGTAACTCCGTTTGCTCTTCCCTCTTGAACCTTTTCACTAACGTACAATGCTCTACAACCTTTGACATCTAATACATTTTGTCCTAATCGTTAACTCATTTTTCCCTTTTCATTACAATATTTTATCATTGTGTTGTATGACCTATTTTGATGCGCGGCAAATTTTCAATAAACATATGCGTTTAATTACGCGATACATACTTTTACTATTCATTTTTTTTTCAATTCAAGTTTTGGTAATTTCGGTCCCCGTAGGTGATGGCTATGGGAAGAACCATGGATCAGACCAGACAATGGAATTATTATATTACAACGGAAGAGACATCATGTTTTTCTTTCGGTGCTCTTTAATTTATAAATATATTGGCATAATAATGTTGTTTTTGTAATATTTTGTTTAATAAATATGAACTTATTAACACGCTAAACACTACCCAGGTAAATTCAATGGTAAACACTTGATCATGAGAAGACCTCAGAGGCAAGATGTCACTACAGGGGGAGGACAGATTCCATAAAACCCAGTGAACACTATCAAGAGACCCGTCCCACGGTGGATGTGGAAGTGGCTTATGCGAATGAAAATAGATGCAAGTTAGCTTTTGGATATCAGGTACTAAAAACCTATGAAACTACTATCAGTTGCCAACTATTGTGAGAGTCTGGGTAGCTGAAAACCAAACCAATCCTCCTTTTCATAACTATATTTTATGTATGTCATACTTCATAGATATAAAAGTCTGCTGCAACCCTGGTGGTGGGTGTGGCTCTCTGGCCAAAGAAAACAGACAAAAAGTGATCTAGTTCAGCCTCAGAAGCGAACCTTCTGGAAAGCGTTTAAATGTTCCTCATACCACAAGGTATAGGGAATGGACTCTGCCACCAGACATTTTCATTGGTGGGGAATCCCTGCTAGACTTGGTGCACCAAAAGTGACCTAGATCGGCTAGAAAGCGAAATGAATGAAACCAAACAGTAAATGTTCACTACAACCTCAGGTATACTGAATGGGCCTTACCCATATATATATATATATATATATATATATATATATATATATATATATATTATATATATATATATGTGTCGTGTGTGTGTGTGTGTGTGTGTGTGTGTGTGAAAAGAAATGAGAGAGAGAGAGAGAAAGTTCCAGTACTGATGTCAGAAAAGATTTCTTACAATCTCAAACTTCACACTAAGAGTTTTCCCCTTCAAAGTAATCCCCCTGGAGTCTAATGCACTTTTTTCATCCTTCTCTGTGTGTTTGTGTGTGTTACGAAAAGCCACAATGCACAAACTAGATTTATTGAAATATATTAGACAACACTTCCAGAATCCTCCTTGACTTAATCCAGCCATTTGAAGGGGAAGGGGAGAGGAGGGAGAATAAGAGTCAGAGAGGAGCGGGAAAAGAAGTCCTGGACTTCATCTCCCGTGTCCGTGGTGTCCAGCCGGGAACTATGATGAGCTTGGATGTCAACTCCCTGTTCACCAGTCCCACTTGACGTCCTTGCTTTCCTTCAGAGGAAGCTTACTGCCGAGGATCCTCCACTCCAGTCCATGTGGAGAGAGGTATTGGCTAATTCCAATCACTCATGTGAAGTTTCATCAAAACCTGGCCTCAGGTTGATGACGGAGACACGTGATAGCCAATCTGGCAAAGATGAGAGGAAATCTTAGAAAACTTGTAATGTCTATTCATGCTGTTTTATGCCCACAATATGAATACATCACATATTAAGAATCAATGCCTATTCAAAATCCAATGAATTTCTTTATTATTTTGTGATTTTTGTAAACAGAAATTAACATACCTTAATCCCAAATGCTGTTAAGAAGTATTGGTTTAACTGAAATCACAATTTCATCTTCCTCCACCAATGTGTCCAGGGAAATACAGCAAATACTGCATCACTTCACTGCAGACTTCAACTTCCGTGGCATCCTGGTAGCCCTGAATCATGTACTCTGAAAATAAGGTAAGCCAGTTGCAGGTGACAAATAAATGAAATATCATACTGCTTAAATGGTAATGGTTAATGGTTGAAACAAATAAATGCCCTAAATATTAATGGTCATATAGTGCTATGGTAAATTATTGTGGCCAAAAAGGGTAAAAATAAGTTAACAATTAGAATAAAATGTATAAGAAGTCAAAGGTTATAGAGTGTTGCAGGATAGTTTAATACAGAGAATGGTAAAGAAGGGGTGCAAATGAAGTAAATTGGAGATTAGTAAAGGAAAGGGTTAAAGATATTGGGTGATTGGATGAAACGGAGTGTAACTATGGCTGAGAAAGCAATAAAAACATTGTCTATGGGAAGCTGGCAAAAGAACTATTATGAAACAATCAATGTGTAATACGCAAAGAGATGGCTGTTGGAGATAGCAGAGAAAAATCTGGGAATGAGATAAGGGGGCTGGAGAAGGTGGTAACATCAGCAAGAATGTCATGAGAGGAGGGATCAGGGGAAGGACACTGTTGTGACAGAAGGGATTCATGTGAGCATCCAGGTGGGAGATGCAAGGATAATGGGGAACGAAGAAGGAACAGTGCACATGGAGGAGAGGACTGGGTGTGTTGGGAAAGAGTGGGAGGAAGAGGGGTAGGGTAAATTTGAGGGGATGTATATTGGTAAATACTTTAAATGTACAGGGATTGGAGGATGGATGAGGGAGCGCAACATTCTCCTGGGTCATGTTTAGGAATTTTTTAATGTCTTCAAGAGGTTCTGGAGGGGAGGAGGTAGGGGAGGTCTAAGAAACAAATGTTCTCTTGTAAGGAGGAAAAGAGGAGATAGATGTTCAAAGAGCAAAGAAAGAGGGGTGTAGGAAGGATGTGGAGAGGAGAAGAAGATGGAGTGGAATGTTTATATTGTCTGGTGCGACAGGTAAAGTGAGAAGGAAGGGGGGGGGTTAGGTATCGGAGAAGTGGTTGAGATTGGAGTATCTGTATTTAGACTGGAAAAGGAATTGACTGGGGAGAGGTGGAGTAAAGGTAGGATGGTTCAAGGTAAAGGGAAGAGATACTGGGGGAGATGCAGAAACATCTTGTGGAGATGGGGAGAGCAGAACAAAAGACTGTTTTGAAATAGGTATAGAGAGAAAAACCTCAACTTCCTGCCTAGCCTCATGTAGAGTGAGGCATAGTTTGAATCTGAGAACTGCTACTTCACATTGGCACATGTATGTGACTGAGCAGGGCAATTAGAATGGTCACGACCAGGTTGGACACATAGAGGGCAGTGAGCTGTGAATGACAGTGTTTGGATGGGTGTCCAAAACGCCAACATTTCTGATATTAACAAGGAAGGGGTCATATGGTCAGACATGGTAGACAAACCATCAATATAAACTTCATGGGGGAGGTCATGTCAACAGAAGCTAATCTTGGCATGGGACTTATGCTGTCCTCTGGGAGGAATAGTGTAGCACTGTACTGTTATTGCATCATAATCAGCAAGGCAGTTAAATAGGTCATTTCCATAGTCTGACCAGTTCTTTTTGTAGATAGAACACGTAGTCAGGTGGATAGAAACAGTTCCACTTAAGAGAGGGATGAGGTTTGGCAGGAATGGTTTGCCAATACAGTCACTTAGGGTAGATAATGCACGAGATTGGGATTCAGATGTAAGACAAGGCGTGAACAATTACAGGACCTGCAAAAGGTAACCTTGCTTACTTGTTTTTGGAGACTGTTGAAAGAGAAGGGTATTCTCAGAGTAGGGGGCTGTAGGGGAATCACAAAAAATCTATCCCATTTTGGCTGGGCTGAAGACAGTACTCAAAAGGTTTGCAGACATAGAGGCAGTAGGACGAGGGCAGGAGGAAGATGGGGTGGTCTGGAGTGGAGTAGTTCTGTGAGGGGGGGGGGGATAAGGATGAATAGTAGTAATAAGGGAAGAGAGGTAAACATTGAAGAAGACTGTGCACTAGGAGATGGAGGGGAGAATGTTAGGAGAGAGGAAGGGGTGCATTCTGGAGGTTGAGTAATAACCTGGGTGGCTGGTTATGTAAGGATTTGTCAGTAAACGTCGAGGAGGGGATATTAGTATCAGTGGTCAGAGCCATGGTTAAAGGAGGGGCAGGGATCAGAAAACCATCAAAATCGTTGCTCAAAGGGATCAGCTGTCAATTGCATTGTCCATCATATGATGCCATCTGCAGCTGATGGGTTAAGAATGGGACAGAAGAAGGGAGATGAAGAAGATACAGACAAGAAAAGGGGGAGAAGAAAAGACCATGCAAAGTTAGTTGAGACGAGGGCTGAGGGGCCAAGGTTGGGGTGATCACCTACATTGGGCCTCAGTCTCCGTCTCCTAAGCCCCCTTACAACAACAAGCAAGGTATTGGAAGGGCAGTGTTTGGCTGGGTAGCCAATATTTCTCATATTGACGAGGAAGGGTTTCGATATGGTCAGACAGGGCACGACACTACCAATGTAAACTTCATGGGGGAGGTCATGTCTCTGGAAGCTGATCTTGGCAATATTGCTGTAAGACTTATGCTGCCCTTTGGGAGGAATAGTGTAGCACAGTACTGCCATTGCGTCATAGTCAACAAGGCAGGTAAGCAGGTTGTTTTCACAGTCTGACCAGTACTTATCGTATTATAGGACAATCAGTCGGGGAGACGGAAAAAGTTCCAGTACAATTATTAAGAGAGGCGAATGAAGTTTGAGTAATGACCTGGGTGGGTGGTTCGGAATGGATAGGGCTGTTAGTAAACATTGAGGAGGGAGTATTAGTATCCATGGTCAGAGCCATGGTCAAAGGAGAAGCAGTGGTTTGAAAACCAATGAAATCAAATTTAGAAAGGTTAGTTGATGAAGTGGCAAACCTTAATGCCCTTAATAAGGGTAAAACATTTTCATTATTGGCCAAGGGAGCTTGGGGAAAAAGAAACAGTCTACCCCTCAGGGTCCCCATAAGGGGTAAGGGCTAGTTGATCAACCAAGGGAATACCATGCTCATGGCTCCCTGAGGCAGTTCATGACTGACACAAAGCCAGCCTTTCATCCTTTCAGCACAGCTCTTATACCTTAGGATATGGACAGAAGGAGATGAGGAGAAAGGAAAAGGAAAGGGGGAGAAGAAAAGACCATGCAAAACTAGTTGAGGTGAGGGCTGAGGCCCAAGGTAGGGATAATCTATCTTGGGCCTCAGTCTCTGTCTCCTAAGCCCCCCACGACAACAAACAACAATTGGGGGATTGCTTAATGGGCAATTACAAATTTATCTATTCAAATGTAAAAGTATGGCCTATTTACTCTAGCTATACATCTGCATAAATGAAAAAAAAAAGACAAAGTGAAACAAAATGCCCAAAGTGGTGGTAACTTCTTCTCATGGATCCATCACACAAATTCCTTTCTCATAATGTGTGTGGTGTTGAACCCATTCATGCCAGCTAAGAAAACATCATTTCATTTCCTGGCAAACAATCCCCCATGTCGGTGTGACATTTTTGCGTCATGCTTGCTCAAGCCTACTCTAAGATGTGCACACTAAAATAGTATGCTCTTTTTCGGCCCATATTGCTGAGAAGAAATAGCCCCTAAGAAGTAGACTTAAAGTCTATTCTAGCTTCATTACCTAAAATACTGTTTATGCTACAGTGAAGAGCATGGAAAGCTCCACAAGCACCCTGAACTAATGCTTGGTATAGCACAGGAGGCTACTGTTAAGATTAAGGCCTTCTTTATAGCTGGACTAAAAAATATTCCTCACTCACATTAGAACCACCAAACAAAATGTTGAATCTTTTAAACATTACATTACAATAGCTTGGTCTTTGGATTTATCTTCAAAAATAGCTGTTCAAGTACTTAACATATCTATGTTATCTATCTATCTATCTATTATATATCTATCTATCTATCTATCTATCTATCTATCTATATATCTATCTATATATTATCTATCTATCTATCTATCTATCTATCTATCTATCTATCTATCTATCTATATCTATCTATCTATCTATATCTATATCTATCTATCTATCTATATATATATACACACACACACATACATATATATACATATACACACATCAATAAACAGATGAATATACTTACAGAGGATCAGGCATATGTTCATTTCCATTACAAACTTCTGCTTTGCCCACCCCCATCCAGAGGGCTTTGGGTATCTGTAATTAAGGAGTTGGATGAGGATACAAAATATATAGGTAGTTGCTTTCTGTCCAATATACCATAAAATAAAACGGTGTTAAATATATGACTTTGTTAAACTCTACTCACATCTATGGCTCTATGTCATAGTTGTCTCATATCCTCTGGCACTTATATAAGCCCAACAAACATCCTGGTAATTTTGAGCTTGACACTAGTTCTTTGTTTGACGGTAAGCCTCCAGGGTGAATCATCCTTGTATATACTGTCTCGCAACCAAAGCAGCTTATGCACACCCATCTTCATGTACTGCCTCGAATTCTGCGAAGCCCTGAAAAAATACAAGAACATGAAGCTACCCTTGCTTATGATTGGCTTCTCATTTTTTGGTGGTTTTGATTAGGTATTGTTTATAAATATTCTGGAAATGCTTTTCATTCTCAGGTAGATGGCTCTTTTCCTAATAAGTACACGTAACTGAGAGCATAAATGCATAATAAGCATAACTCCTTCCATTTCCTGCAAAAATCTTTTAGATGAAGTGTTCATTGTGACAAATGTAGAAAAGGCATTTATGAGAATTAATATCATCACAATGCAGATGTATTTGACTGTTTTTTAATATATCAGAAATACATTTGAAACAATCCTTGTATTGTGAAGATGTGCATTCTCATTCATACCTTTTCTTTATACTGTAAATACATAAATATAAATATATGCATATCTACATATCTACATACATAATTTGTATGGAAATTTCAATTATAAGTGTGCAAGGAAACTTTCCCTGTTTGTTTTTGGAGACACTGTTGAAAGAGAAGGATATTCTCAAAGTAAGGGGCTGTGGGGGAATCACAAAGAATCGATCCTACCTGGCTGGGCCAAAGGGAGTATTCAAAAGGTTTGAAGAGGTGGAAGCTGTAGAAGGATGAGGGCGGGAGGAAGATGGGGTGGTGTGGAGTGAAGTAGTTCTGTCAGGGGGAGGACAATTAAGGGAAGAGGGAGTAGACAATGAAGAAGACTGTGCAGTAGATGAAGTGGTTAATGTTGGGAGAGAGGAAGGGGTGCATTCTGAAGGTTGAGTAATGACCTGGGTGGGTGGTTCGGAATGGATAGAGTTGTCAGTCGACGTCGAGGAAGGAGTAATAGTATTAGTGTTCGGAGCTGTGGTCAAAGAAGGGGTAGGTGTCAGAAAACCAATGGAATCAAATTCAGATAGGCTAGTTGATGAAGAGGCAAGCCTTAATGCCCTTAATAAGGGTAAAGAATCTTCATTACTGGTTATGGTGAGCCTCAATAAAATGGGGGAAAAGGAACAGTCTACCCCTTAGGGTCTCCATAAGGGGTAAGGGCAAGGCCAATAACCAAGGGAATACCATGCCCATAGCTCCCAGAGACCATTCATGACTGACACAAAGCCAACCTTTCATACTTTAAACACATCTCTCACACCTCAGGAAGTGGACAGAAGAAGGGGGATGAAGAAGATACGGAAGACCAAAGGGAGAGAAGAAAAGACCATGAAAAATTATTTGAGGCAAGGACTTAAGCCCAAGGTAAGGGCAATCCCCTACACTGGGCCTCAGCCTCCATCTCCTAAACCCCTCCACGACAACAACAACCTAAGAGTTGAGGGGGTTCAGACAGTATATTTTTCATATTTTACCTTGCAATTTCCCCGGTACTGTTCATACCCTCCCCTGTTATCTGGGCCAAGACTATTGCTAATAGGGGGATTTCTGCACAACAATTTTTATACATTTGGAAAGTAGAGAGTGAGGAATCCATCAATCCCCCACTCTGCCAAGTATGGGCTTTTTCTTGAGTTTGCACATGCAAAATTTCAAGTGTGCAATTGTCCATTTGAAATTTTGTGTGCACTTCAAGTGTGCTGACATCCTGTTCTCCTTTGTTTTCATCTCAAAACTGTTTGACATTATTCAGTTTCATTTATAATTCCTCTTTATGTTGCTATATTTCATGTTCTAATCATTCCTTAGAATTATAATACAGAAACCCTAGTGCTAAGACCATTTTACACAACATCTATGATGACCATGCCCTTTTTTTCAAGTGTCTACTGTCAAAAAAGGAAAATTATTTTGAGTGTGCACTTGCCCAACTCTGCAGACTAATACCAAAACCGATCCATTATGCAGAACTACTTTTTAAAATTATTCCAAACCAAGCTTACATGCTTCACATTGCAGCAAAGGCAAACCTAATCTATCCACATTTCAGTATGATATAGTTTGCAGTTTCACTGTGCCATTATGCTGCGTTCTGAATTCCCCGTCTTGGTCATCAGGACCAGCAGGACACCAAGGCTGCGCTCAGAACCTCCAAGGCCTCCGCTGCCTAGAATGCAAAGAGCTTGAAAGAAACATTCACTATTTTATGATACCGGTGTCTTTATTTTACATGCTGCATGGGTTTTGTAATTCCTTTGATGCATATTTAATCTATCTGCACCTGACAAACACAAAGATATTCTTTGATAACACCAATATAGGGCCATAAAATTACCCCCATCAATATCTTGTGGTTGCCTGCAACTGTCATTGTTTACATACAAATGCTATTGTAATTTCATCTCATCCTGCTCCCCCAGCAGTGAAAGAGGATGAGATGGAAAACTTGTCCAGGACAAGAAAGTAGAGGTTCCCAAATAATCTTATCCAACTTGTCTGGACGAGGAGTTCCGAAGAAGCATTAGTCTGACTGGATTTGCATGGCATGACATTTCTAAACCCAGACTCTTGGCTTCCCTCCATCAAACCCTGTCCATCCCCATGAATCTGCCCACATTTATTTGTACTGTGGGCCACTGGTGCTAAATTTGCAGCCAGAATCGATGGTGGCATTATCACTGACATCTACCCGGAAATGGCGCCTTGTGATAATAGTGATTATAATTATAATACGTAAGTAGCGACCATGATTTGGTCACCCATGGGAGTGTCGAGTTTATTGCGTCGTTTTCTAATCATGCAATTCCACTATATAACAATCAGTCAGGAGCGAGGAAAGATTGTTTTAAATGGGTGCCAACTCGACCTGAGCTGAAGATAACGCAACTGCAAAAATTACAAGCAATTACATCTTTTCGTCACTCTATGGCACACTGCATAAAACACACTATAGGAGTGGGATTGACTGATTATTGAGAAAAATCAGTCGTGAAAACAGATACGGGCGTCAGCGATGAGAAATAATGAAAATTTTGATATCCTAATCATATTTACCGACTGCAAAAGCACAGACACCCTTTTCTTCTTTTATAGGGTTTTAGACTTTTGAGTAGTCTATATTCCCTGGATCCTTTTTCTTTTCTATTCTTTCTTTTATATGATCTCCGTTAATCTGGTTTTTTTCTTAGGAAGATTTTGGTATGTCTGAGGAACACCCTTTTCCTCGAGCAGACTTCCCGCCGCCAATGTTTATATTGTGAAGCAACGTCTGCCTCTGCCGACGCCAACGGCACGAAGATCCACTCTTACCTCATCACAATTATATATCATTTCCATACCATTTCGAGATATTCTGCGTCAGTAAAAAGAAATACATGAAAAAAAACATATTGAAATAAAAACACAATTCTAACACCCTAACATGTATATTTTCCTTGTAGTATATTCTGGGTGGGCGTGTGGGCGCGATCAGGGATAATTGCCGCAATATTTTGAACACAGGACTTGATTTACTTATTTCTAAACATGTCATAGATGGCAAACTCAGCTTTCTTTGAGACACGCACACTTATCAGTCAATTGTTAACAGTCGTTGTGTATGCAATTTTAATATATTTTGTTGCAAAGCAAGCATATAATTGAAACTATATAATAATAATGATAATGATGATAGCAATAGCATCAACAATGATAATGATAATGATGATAATAATGATAATAATAATGATAATAATAATATAATAATTAATAATAATAATAATAATAAATAATATAATGATAATAATAATAATAATAATAATAATAATAATAATAATAATAATAATAATAATAATAATATAATAATAATAATAATAACAATAATAATAATAATAATATAATAATAATAAAATAATAATTATGAATAGATTATTATCATTATCATATTACTATCATTATCATCATCATTATCATATTATATCATTATTATCAGTAATCACGAAAATCATAATAATAATAATAATTTCAACAAAAATCACATTCATAACAATAGTAACAATAATCATAATAATAAAATAATAACAACAATAATAATAATAATAATAATAAAATAATAACAACAATCATAATAATAAAATAATAAAATAATAATAACACAATCATAATAATAATAATAAATCAGTAAAAAATACAGAAATAAATAACCCACGGGTAGCTGAACCAAGGATGGGTACCTTCTCAGGGATCCCCAACCCAGTGCTCACGACTCACGAGCTCCATTGTCCTCCCTGATGGCCTGGCGGTGTTTTTTTTTCCATAATTTTAGGGGGAAACAACAGCACTGCTACGAAGCAATAATCTTAAAAAGAGGTTACGTTCCAGTGCCAAAGATGGTAGTCTCGACAGATCACGGTTTAAATACTGATAAAGAAATCTCAACAGATCACGGTTTAGATATTGATAAGGGAATTTGGGAACCTAGGTATCGGATCAGAGAAATTTGCTGGATTATATAAATTCGGAAAGGCAGAGGCAACCAGTATTTAAAGATGGTCGTCGGTTAAAGTCCAGGTGGAGTTTCTCTCGGATATTGGCGAGACGAAACGACGGTTAAAATTATAAACTCAAGAGCTCTGACTGAATGTTGCTTTTCTTGAGAATTCACGATCGCCAATGGCAAAACCCGTCTCCTGCTTCGTGGGTACCCTGGGCCTGACTCTGGCATCCTTGTTGCGTAGTAAAAGCCCTTAGACTTGGACAGAATTCCTTTGTTCCTTCCTGCTGCACCTTGGCAGAATTATCCTCAGCCTTGTGTGAGCCAATGGCTTCTCTAAGACCGTTTTCCACCATGTGAAAACAACACCCGAAGGACGCGCAAAGGACAGCACGCTTTGTGCTCTTTGGAATAACTATTCTACCATCTGCTTCAAAATTCGAACGGGTGGCAGACTTAGCAGACTCAGGCATTTTGCCCGCTAGATGAAAATCTTGTTCTAATTAAAAATTACTGTCAAACACCTCGAATACAGCCTGGCCTCGTACGAACTACTTTGATATAACAGTCTAATTGCGGGACAGGGGCCTCTTCAGATCGCCGCTGGAGGTCACTGGTCATGAAATTTCGCCCGTCCTCTACCCACCAAGGAAGAAGCCGCCAAGAGCTTCCTACTTGCCATCGCCAAGGGCCTCCAAGGATTTATCGACATGATCAGTTATATTCATCCCTTCCTACCAAGAATCCCTGACTATTGCACCCTTGAAGGCGAACCAAAGCGGCTCACCAGAGAAGCCGCCACAGAGCAAACCTTCAGTAGAATGAATGTTCCTCCGCTTAGTTTCTTCAGCTGGAAGCTCCGACATGCCGGTGCCAAGTGTAGAACATTCAACTACAAACTGTTCGTTGCCCATCTCGCTGTCTGCCACTTCACTTTCCTCCTGGAAATCGCCCTTTTTACCTCCAGACAGTCCACAACTTGTTGGTTCGCGCATTCTCTAAGGCAGATAGACAATATTCGTTACCTGCTCCTTGCTACTGTGCATTTTATAGCTAAATCTGGATGCAGGCGCGCACCTAGTTATTTTAGAGGGCAGGGGTCCAGGCCACAAAAAGGGCACAATATGAATTTTATTTATAGGGGATATAGCCTGAATTATGTTCTTCAGATTTAAAAACGGAAGAAATGTTACAAGAATTTTAATGATAATAATTATGTGCACTGAACCAGACAAAAATACAATAAACAGTCTCATCGCCATTTCAAGATCAAGAGAAAGAAAATGCCTTAGAAAAGGGGCACTTTCACCCTTTTGAGAAAAAGGGTAGGGGTTCGGACCCCCAGGACCCCCTCCCCCACGTAGTTGCGCGCCTGGGATGTATCCTAATGAAATAATGTAATTATATGAATGTTTATGGATGGTCAAGTGGACACGTGTGCAATTGTTCATATCTGTACAACTGTATCCAGTGATGTGCATGTGTGAATGCGTGATGGAGGAAAATTATGTGATAGATTTTTTTTCCCATCAAGTGTACATATGAATTTCCAAATATGTACATGTATCCAAATGTTTGTGCATGGATGTATGTGAGTACAGAAATGTAAATATACATATATTTGGAGGAAAAAGTTGTGTGTGATTGCTTTTNGGAGAAGAGTGACCGAAGAGAGAGAAGAGGAGTAGATGAGAGACGCGAGGATAGATGTAGAGAGATGAGCCGATGTGATGACTGCTATAGGATAGAATGAGAGATAGAGTTTTGGGACCGTAGAGATAGAGAGAGAGATTGAAATGCTTCGATCAGTGTTCAATATGACGAGAGAGAGAGGAGGTAGAGAGTAGATGTAGATCGAGAGTAGAAGAGAGGGGGTGGGCGGGTATTCTGTACATCACCTACAACTATCACTCCATAATGTAGGTGCTTACCAACTAATAAATGTCAAAAGTAATGTACTGTCTAGGCTGTTTTTATTGTTTAATTTCATTTTCTCCCATTTTCTATGTCAGCTTCGGGCGTTTTACAATTCATAACAATTTGTATATAGGCCTATAGAATTAAATAGGTATATACGTTTTCTCTTCCTTGTTTTTTTTTAAATTGTTATATCTATTTTATTTATTTATCATTACTATTATCATAATTTTTAGCTTAGCTGATGAGGCCGAATTAAATATCATTATCAGAGACTTCAAAAGTAAAACATCATTCAAAACACCAAAAACCATATTAAATAATGTTATAATTTGATAAACAATTTCGCAAAACAACTTTGAAAAATAAAAGCTAACATCCATATCTCTGGTTAATACTTGTTACCTTTTGTTTATGACCTTTAATGAAAACAATTATTTTGTATGCATTTTTTCTGCCTATTGAAAAATGTGCATTGGGGCTGTCCCGTGTGAAAAAATTTAAAAAAAATAAAAGATTATATATATTGTATGTATGTATGTATGTATGTATGTATGTATGTACGTACGTACATAACAATGATAAACTAACTGGCTGACTATTGGTGCTGGTATCCCGATGCTTAGTGAAATTGTTAGGTTATGTTAGGTAAGGCTAGGGTAGGTTAGGCTAGACTATATTAGGCCAGGCTAGTTAGGTTAGGTTAGGTTTATAGGTTTAGGCTATCTTAGGTTATATAGTTAGGTTTAGACTAGGCTTAGTTTAAGTTAGGCTAGGGGTATAGGCTAAATTAAGTTAGAGTAGGCTAGGTTAATAGGGCTAACGGCTTAGTAAAGGTAGTTGCAGGTTAGGTGTGCTAGCAGCTCGGTTCGGTTAGGCTTGGTTAGGTAAGGGTTTGTTAGGTTAGGTTAGGCTAGGCTAGGCTTAGGATTATGTATCCCGAATACGCAGTGCTGTATCCAATACCATACATATGACACATATGCATACGCATGTGTGTCGCACAGCTACCCGCGAGAAATCGGGATAGAGCTGCCGTACTCCTATCATTAACCTAATAATAATGAAGATAATAATTATGATAATAATGATAAAAATAATAACGATAACGATAATAATAATAATAATAATGATGATAATAATGATAATGATAATGAAATGATAACGATAATGATAATGATTAAATAATAGATAATGATAATGATGATTAATGATAATGATAACAAAAATGTATATAACAAGTAAGGAAAAAAAAAATGAGCTAAAATCCTGAAGCCCCTTTCTTTCGCTTCAGTTGCGAATCTTTATCGTTCGTGGCTTCAGAGAGTTTGGGGGAGGGGGGGAGAGGGAGGAGGAGGGAGGGGTGCAGCCTCAGTAACAACCTCATAAATAAGGCTTTGGTTTTAGATACTGCATCATAGCCAAGGTGAATTCTTCATTTTTACATAAGCGATTTTTAACATTGTTACCATCCACCCTGGAGAGGTACGTGCGCGCACACATGCACATATATATACACAGAGATAGACAGATGCAAATACAAATACACATAAACGTACTCATATACATACAGATACATGTGCATGGGCATACACAAACATATAACTATATACTTACACTTCCATATTACATTATCACACATACACACAAACACACATACAACAAATACACACACACACACACACACACACACGCACACGCACACGCACACCACACGCACACACGCGCACACACACAAACACACATACAAACAAACACACACACACATACACAAACACACACACACACCACACACCACACACACACAACACACACACACACACACACACACACACACACACACACACACACACACACACA